TGGAGTGCTTTATTGTTGTCTTTTAAAAGTTGTGTATTAATGTTTATTTTAGTTTTAGTCATTATATTTAAATAGTTATTATATTTTCATGCCAACTATCTGAAACATTTATTCAGTCCCTTTATTGATCTGGGGTCACCGCAGCGGAATGAACCGCCAACTTATCCAGCATATGTTTCATGCAGCGGATGCCCTTCCAGCTGCAACCAATCACTGGGAAACATCCATACACACTCATACACTACAGACAATTTAGCCTACCCAATTCACCTCTAGCATATGTGTTTGGACTGTGGGAGAAACAGGAGCACTCGGTGGAAACCCAAGCCAACACAGGGAGAACATGCAAACTCCACACAGAAACCCCAACTGGCCCAGCCGAGGCTCGAACCAGCGACCTTCTTGCTGTAAGGCGAATGTGCCACTGCGCGACCCCTATCTGAAATATTCTAAAACATAATGTTTATTTTATTTCAAGAAGCAAAAATGGCTGAGGTTTAATTCTTTTAGTAGCATAATAACCCCGGTTGTTATTAAATCCAACATGGAGTGTAATACATTAAAAACAAACAAACAAATAAAACTCAAAAGTGAAAAAATCTTTAATAAAAACAAAATTTCCTTTGAGATATGAAACTTTTGTAAAATACAAAAAAAAACTTTAAAAAATACTTGTCAATACAACAATGCTACAGTGATAAAAAAAACAGTACACACTGATTAAAGCTACAAAATAATTTCAATTCCTATGATTAGTACAGGTAATAGATCACTTAAAAACAAAACAAACAAAAAGAAAATCATAATTTTCTGGCCCTCAAGACCTTTCTGACTTTCTTTCTTCTGTTAAACACATTATTCAATTATTTTCGTTCAGCTTAGTCCCTTTATTAATCAAGAGTCGCCACAGTGGAATGAACCGCCAATTTATCCAGCATATGTTTAATTCATCGGATACCCTTCCAGTTGCAACCCAGTACTGGAAAACACCCATACACTGAGCCACTGTGTCACCTTCGGCTGAACACAAAAGGAGACATTTTGAAGAAGGTTGGAAACTGGTAGCCATTGACTTCCAATAAATATTACAGAGAAGAAGCTGTTTACTGCTGTGATTGTCAGAATTTTTCTGTAAGAAATATGATAAAAACAGTCATTTTACAGTAACCTACCTTACTTTATTAATTTGTGGTGTTAAATAACAATGATGACTACTTTTGAGTACTAACATCTGCACTTGTACTTTTGTTGCACTGTTTTGTTGTAGGAAACACACAATATCATTTCTAACACTTTACCGACAACGTTCTTACAATCAGCAGGTACGGTGTAAAAACTCAATCACAGGCTCATTCTGAAAGCGTACACCTATATTCATTTCTGGGGAGCGCGAATTATGTATTAAGCATGGGCAATGTGGGCGATCGCCCACAGTGGCATCTTGCTGGGGGGGAGAGATAGTGCAAAAAAAAAAAAAAAAAAAAAGAAGTAGTAAAAGCATTGAAACATGATTTACTTTATGCAAGTGTATGAATTTAGAGTGGTATTTCCAGAAAAAAGATGTCAGGGGCCGTTCACATTTGGCATCTTTTGCATGTGCAAGTTGGTTATTCTCTATGTGCAACCGAAACAAAGCTGGTGAAAGCAAACTGATGCATGAACGCAGAAAAACATTCCCGCGTGCCAAACATGCTCCTGTGTGAATCTTGATTGTTTGCATGCACGCCGATAAAACCAATATGATGATGATGTTACTTTCACTAAGCATGGCTATAAAGCAGAAAGCCGGGATAAGGGAGGTAAGACTTCATAACAATCTGCTTGATAAGTGTGACGTCACGCGAAGCGGCTTCCGGGTCCAAGTGCTCTATTAAACTGAATGGGGAGACTCATGAAATGGTAATAATAAACGTTTACAGAGCGATTTAATACTTACGAAAATCACGATCGCAGTATATATGTCCATGCCTAATATCCGATGGCCAGAAAGTGATTCATTTTTAATAAATTGTAAAAATGTTGGTATTTGTTATGCAACAAGCCCAGAGATTGTTGTGTACACTATGACTTTATGTAAAATTAACTTTAATGTGTGATAGGAATAAAACGTGATCATAAACGAATGATTTCTCCACTCAAATGAATGGCGGCTTGGACAAAACAGTAATACATACGTCACCACTTAACAAGCGGATGAGTCTCTGCTATAAGTCGGGTCTAAAGCTCCGTTTACACTGCCAGTTAAATGTGACCCAATTCCGATTTTTTGTTTATGTGACACAGATTGGATCTGTTCTATGACCGTGTAAACACGAAAAAAACGCATGCATTCAGATATTCAGAGATCGGTTTCAGGCCTCCTTCATATGTGGAAATAAATCCGATATAGATCGGATATGTGACAATGCGACTGTCATGTAAACAGGCAGATCAGATTTATTGAGGCATTCAGTTCTGTACATCATTAAACTTGCGACAATGTGGTGCTTCCCCGTGGTTTAATGACAGAAGAAAAAGGTGTGTGGAGATGCCGACAGGGTAAACAACATTAAGGGTGTCACGATCCTCCAAATCCTCGATTCGATTACATTTTCGATTCTAAAGGCACGATTCGATTCGATTTTCGATTATGAATAATGAATTAATGACCAATTAATTATTTGTAGCCTACCGTTTAAACTACCTGACCTGTATGGTCTTTGTTTTACCCATTAACAAATCACACAGTAAATGAATAAAGGCAAGATACACACATAATTACCACCTGTCAATCACTTTTTCTGCGGGACTCGTGAATAGGCAGTGATCTGTGTCGTTATAATGGCGTCGGTAAAAAAGACGCACAACCAACAGCCAACAGTATCTGAGGTGTTCGCTAAAATGACTAAGTACAAGTGAGTGAAAGATTGAAGCAGTCCTCTGCCTGGACCTGCTGTCTCGAGCGCATGGCTGTGTGTGCGTCTGTGTCTGTGTGGTCACGTGATGTGCATTTTCAGAGGTAGAGAGGAAGGAGGGCTGCTCAGAAATGCTACACGCCACTGTGGATGTCAAATCGTTGTCGTTCTAAAATGCCATTTAAAAACAAAGACAGTGTAAACAGGGCCTGAGTGTGTACTTTTCACGAGTGGATTTGCAACGGGGGCAGGCGGAGGATCGCGATGCTGGTGTTGTCTATCGGACGAACGTTGTCAACATAACTCACTGGAAATCCAAAATGCTTCCACACCGGCGACTTCATTGAAAGAGGAGAGGGTTTAAGTTCTGTCGACGAGTCTCCTGCTTCTGCAGTTTAACAAGCACTTCAACAAGCCTGTTTTTTTCCCGCTTGGCAAGCCAAGCTGACGTGACATGGGGGCGTGGCAGCATCGACGATTCTATTTTTTGATTCGTTAATCTAAATTGAGCATAAATTTCGATCAATTTCAAGACACCATCTAAACACTAAACAACATCAGAGGAAACACAGAGGAGGAAAGTGGTTAGTCGCCACAACTTGCTCCCACCAGATCTGAGATCTCTCTCTCGTACCCACAAATTCCTCTGAATGGTGGAGGACAGCATACATAAACCATAAGCGCAAGCTGCGATGACGGCCCTTTCCCACCTGCTCCTCAAAATCATTTTAAAGTTGGGCGAACTTCCTGTTGTAACTTTTGCTTTTTGTCGCTATTAATAAACGCACTGCGGGCTACACATAAAACAACTTTATTCTCTCCAACACCAGTGCGCTCACAGGCGAAGGCCACATCTTCAACTAAACACACACACATCAGGGCCATACCATTACATAAACTGCGTGGGGGTAAATCTGGACTAAACCATTCACTGCTTATACTACACTTCGCATTTTTCACAGAGCAAAAAAAAAAGACAATTTCTTCCATCGTGGCTAGTGTGACACAGATGCTAGAACCCGCTTTTATGCATGCGCGACATCAAAAATTGTATGGCAAGTGTAAAGGCATGAATAGGATATGGGTCACAATTAAAACAACGTGTAAACAGACAGGCAAACAAATCAGATACAGGCAACAAATCGGAATTGGTCATCAAGACCTGACAGTGTAAAGGGCGCCTAAGACAACAGATAATTCTATAAAACGTATTGGTTTTTTGGATTCTAAAGAATTGTCATAATTAATATTCATGCAAAAGTGAACTTAGCATATCACTCCAGTTTTACATTGTTTTCCAGTAACATTAAGGATTGATTTTTTGTTATTTATTTAGAATAATAATTGTCCAATAATAATAATAATTGTATTTATTTATAATAAATAGAAATAAATTGTTATATTTATTGAAAAAAAAATTTGCCCAGGGTGCCATTTAAACTAGAACCCCCACTGGTAGCCAGAGCTACGTATGGCTGTATTTTGTCTTAAAAACGAATGCTACAGGGCGGTATGATGTGGTTCCTTTTCACCCCTACCAGCTGACCTCTGTGTGGACGGCTTTTCCACTGTTACCAGTAGCTCACCATTTATGTAGGAGGACTTGGGATGCAGAGAGGAATTGACCACGATGGCAGGGTTTGACTCTGGCAAAGAACTGTTCCAGAAAGCAGGTAAGACAAAAACCAAAAAAAATTAAAAAGTAAATAACAGGGTGAGTATGTGGTAAAATCTGAAAATAGGGTAAAAATCAGGCGAGAGCTTTTCTTTATCTGGAACTTCATCTTTTTTTTTTAAACTGTCAGTTGGGTTAAGGCAGGGGTGTCAAACTCAATTCCTGGAGGGCTGAAGCCCTGCACAGTTTAGTTCCAACCCTGCTCCAACACACTTACCTGTAGGTTTCAAACAAGCCTGAAGGACTCAATTAGTTTGATCAGGTGTGTTTAAATAGGGTTGGAACTAAACTGTGCAGAGCTGCGGCCCTTTTGGAACCGAGTTTGACACCTGTGGGTTAAGGGAAGTAGGTGAGTGGGTCAGTCAATCGGTCAGTCAGTCAGTCAGTCAACAGCAGCCTCTAGTGGTTTTACGCGAGAACAGCAGGTGCAAATAGCACTCGCGAGAGAAATCTGAGATCTGAAAAAGCATTCACAGCAGCCTCTGGTGGATTCTCAAAAACTTCAAAAAATGTACCTCTTGGAACATATTTGGCACTCTAGTAATGTATATATCGGTATATATTCAGATTGCGCCTTGGTTGGAAAACTCTAATATGCTGCTTCTCACTCAGGGCCGTCTATGCTAATGAGGGAGAGATGGTCACTAGCGGGCTTTCCCCCTCTGATGACACATACAAAGGCAGAAGTGTTTCTGCAGACTGTTTTTATCAAGTATGATTATTAAAAACTATTTAAACTCCTTATAAAAGTTTTTTAAAGATCAGATCTTCTTCTCCATGGTCAGAATGGTGGCTCTGGTCATCCAGATCATCCACTGCATGCTCTCAGTCTGAGTGTGAACCCGGAGGAGTTTAAAACCCAGCTTGAAATACAACGCCACGGCTGCTTTCTGTGTCGAAGAAGTGGAAAGCATGATCTTTGAGAAGCCGCGCTCCCTGCAGAAGTCTTCAGCAGTCTGAGCCAACTTTACACCAAGTCCAGTACGGCGACAAGCGGATGAAACAATCATCCTGTAAAGCTCTCCATACTTTTCAGACCCCTTTTTACCCTCCACAGCAACCATACCCAAAACCTGAGGCCGGCCTTCAATCTCAGCTTCTGCAACCCAGAAGCAGTTGTCAGGATTTTCGAGGTAGTACGCAGAAATATCCTTCATGTCCGTGTTGAGTCTGGAGCGGACGTATCCAGCATAAAACTCATGGCAGCAGAAGTAGACCAGGCCTATCCAGGATCCTCCACACATCAAGGATAGAACCAGGGAGTATGTGCTTAGTATGTAAGCGCTGACGTAAATGAAGAGGCTTATGGTGATGTGCAGCGGTCGGGTCATAGCATACATGAATGCGGGATTGATGTGCTCTTCTATTGCCTCCCGGAAAACTGTTTCCACAGCCTCGCGGTCGGAGGGTTGATAGTGGCGGATCACGATGTGCACTGGAAGACAGTGAAGAGCAGTTACCAGTGGGTAAAGCAAATAGAAATACAGTCTATAGGTCACAGATTTTGGTGCATTTGAACAAAACAGATTTAATAAATGGATATATTTATCAAAATAATATTTTAGTCACCAAAGCTATTATGAAATAGAAAGCTTATACTTTTAAATTCATGCAAAATTTTGGGAAAATATATAACTAACTAAATTAACACAAAATGTTATACATTTATTGTTTCTCTTGAATTTAGCACTTTAACATTTTTTGTTTAATTTTTTTCTATAACATAAATTTGGGTGTACTCATTTTGTATCGTTATTAGAAGTTATGTTGTTAGATAAGCTCTAGATTTGGCATTTTGGCATATGCACAAATTTAATATTGTACAGCTTCCTAATCCTATAGAAAATATTAATCTAACTGAGAGATGTGTGCGGGGTGTACTCATTTATGCTGAGCAGTGCATTTCAAATACAGAAAACAGCTTGAAAAATGCATAAAAATATTAGTTTTTTTAAACTATTTCCATTGCAAAAACAAAACAAAACTAAAACTTAGCAAATCAGTTTTAAAAAATGTCCCCTCTGTTTATTTTTTTGCCTAATTTGTTTAATGGAGACCAAATTTTTTTCCAACACATTTCTAAACATAACAGTTTTAATAACTTATTTCTAATAACTGATTTATTTTATCTTTGCCATGATGACAGTAAATAATATTTGACTAGATATTTTTCAAGACACTTCTATACAGCTTAACGTGACATTTAACTAGTGGCTTAACTAAGTTAGTTGGGTTAACTAGACAGGTTAGGGTAATTAGGCAAGTTATTGTATATAACGATGGTTTGTTCTGTAGACTATCGAAAAAATGATTGCTTAAAGAGGCTAATAATTTAGTCCTTAAAATGGTGTTTAAAAAATTAAAAACTGCTTTTATTCTAGCTGAAATAAAACAAAACTCTTTCTCCAGAAAAAAAAATATTATCAGACATACTGTGAAAATGTCCTTGCTCTATATATATATATATATATATATATATATGTGTGTGTGTGTGTGTGTATTATATAAAAAGTATTTAAAAATGTATAATAAAAAATAATAATACATATACATATATTGTAAAAAATATTTATATATTTTGACATACTTTTTTTATATATCACTATATAATTATGTTGTTTTTATAGAGCATCAAGTTTGCCTAAATGTAAAACATTTACTGGCCAACTAAAAAAAAGTTATATTAAAGCTATATTAGTTAGTTTTGGCTGATGTTAAATTTAACTCGAGAAAAAATGATTTTATGGTATTTGTTTTAACTTTAATAACCCCGATAAACAGACAAATAGCAACAATATAATTAAATAAACATTCTTTTTAAAATACCTAGTAAAAATTTGACTTTTTTGTTATTGGTTGTCAAACTCAATTCCTGGAGGGCCGAAGCCCTGCACAGTTTAGTTCCGACCCTGCTCCAACACACTTACCTGTAGGTTTCAAACAAGCCTGAAGGACTCAATTAGTTTGATCAGGTGTGTTTAATTAGGGTTGGAACTAAACTGTGCAGAGCTGCGGCCCTTTTGGAACTGAGTTTGACACCTGTGAGGTAAAGGGTTATGTCAGGGTGTCCAAACTCGGTCCCGGGGGGCCGGTGTCCTGCATAGTTTAGCACCAGCTTCTTCCAACACACCTACCTGGAAGTTTCAAGTATACCTAGAAAGGGCTTGATTAGCTGGTTCAGGTGTGTTATATTGTGGTTGGAACTAAAATATGAAGGACACCGGCCCTCCAGGACCGAGTTTGGACACCCCTGGCTTATGTCAACCTTAGCAAATGTACACTTGCATTGTGTGGACTCTTTCTGCGATGTATTATTTTATTCAACACATCTTTGATTTTTTTTATGTGAACTTAGAAAATAAAGGATATTTTGGACATACGTGGGTTTCCATCTATGCAAATCCCGCGAAAATTTAGCTTAAAACAGCTGCAGAAACGAGATATATCCAGATGCAGGCCCGCAGAACCACACACGTTTTAGACACACACAATCTAGGACACACGATTTAGGCAAACCATATATGGTAACTAACTCTTTAGCATTATCGCCACCTATTGAATTTTACTAAACCGTCAAAGTTGTTTTATATATGTATGTATGTATGTATGTATGTATGTATATATATATATATATATATATATATATATATATATATATATATATATATATATATATATATATATATATATTGATGTGTGTGTGTGTGTGTGTGTGTGTGTGTGTGTATTTACTAATGTTTTTTTATTATAATAGTTAATCCTATTGCTAAATTTTGGTTAAAAACAATTTATTGCTTACTATAAATTACTACAGTATTAAATGTGGGAAATCATTAATTAAAAGGTTATTAGAAAATTAAGATAATAAACACTATTAAATAGCATTAGTAAAATATTAATATAGTGTTATACATTTGTTATATGTAAAAAGATTTTTATTACATATAATGTATTATTGCCTATATTAACTTGCTATTAATTCCTTCATCATAAATTAATCCATTATATAAATAAATTTATTGTGTACAATATTTATCAATCATATATATCAAAATATATCGATGACGATGTTTAAAAAGACGTTAATAACATTAACATCCGACGTAACCATATATGGTTTGCCTAGATTGTGTGTCCTAGATTGTGTGTGCCTAAAACGTGTGTGGTTCTGCGGGCCTACAGCTGGATATTATTGGCAGAAACACCAATTAAGAACAAGAAGGCGGAGTCGAAACTATAAGCGCAAAGCTCATTGGTTATCATTTGATTTATAAACGCAGCATCGACATAATACACATGGTTATGATTTACAACAAAAGTCGAAAGTTAAGTTTTCTTTTCATTTTGTATTTGTTCATAATAAAAGCCAAAATAGTAACTTATAAAGAGACATTTTAAACGACATACTAAACACACATCTAACGTGAATAACTTTAACCAGCAAACGTGAATTAACATGCATAGATTTTATTTTTTTCCACTTTAAAACTCCATGCGGTGACATAAGTGGAATATTCCTCAACTAGAACACTGCGAAGCCTGTCAAAAACTTTATTATTTAATATTGAACAACATGAGAACAATACGGTGAGTAAACTTATTAAAACGGAATTTTCATTTTGGTGCAACAATAAAAACACAATGAAAATGTTTGTTCGCGTAATAATGCGATAGATAGATAGATAGATAGATAGATAGATAGATAGATAGATAGATAGATAGATAGATTGTTGAGGTGGAACCTCTGGAATGTTCTGATAGTCCTTGAAAACTGGAGACTCCGGTAAGAGAGTAAAGGGCTCGGAGAGTTTCATCCAAAAATAGCTTTAATGAGTGAGTACGTGTGTGTGTGTGTGTGTGTGGTCTGGAACATAAAATAGAACAAATTAAGTATCAATAAAATATTACAGGTTTAGCAATTAACAAATAACAGTCAAACATTTCCATTTAGATTACAACAGAAAATAATCTTTAGGTATAGGAATAAATTCACTGTCAAACTGTAGTGTTTAGAAATGACTCAACATTACACCATGTGTCAAAATATAAACATTAATCCAACAAGGAAACATACTATGGCATAAATAGTTTGGACAAGCATATTAGCTTCCCAACACAGATTAACATATAACATAAGATTATGCAAATATATGCATTAAAGGTGAAATACAACATTACAGATATTGTTACAACAGTATTAACATAAGTATTACCCATATTTTTGGTGGGAATCAGTAAATAAACTTACTTTCTTGGCATGAACGCACACAGGATAGATGTTTGCCTTCTCACCGTGCCTCACAAGTGATTTTTGCCATGTGCTTGCTCTTGAAAGCGAAAGTAGTGAATGTCGGTCAAATTAGAGAGGTGCGCCATCTAGGGTATACTCATAAGAACTGCAACCCTGTATAGGACTTTCCTACAAAGCCGCCCCCAAATTTACTAGATAAATTTGTAATTAGTCTAGGGAAAGTCTCAAGGCTAATTGTTTCCTTCCTCATCTTCCCATGATGGTAACTTAACTAACCGGGCGACAGGCCGAAGATAAGTTCGCTCTTTTACTTGCACTTCTGCAGTACGTACGCAATGATCTACACCAGCATATGTCTTAATCACTTTACCAATAGGCCATGAAGCTCGTGGCAACTGTGGATCAACTATCATGACGATCTGTCCAATAGTTAAATTGCCGGTGTCCCTTTGCCATTTTTGGCGTGTCTGTAGGCCTGGTAAGTAATGCCGTACAAAGTTTACCCAAAAATGGTCAGCCAAAATTTGACTATGTCGCCACCTCCTTCTACCTAACAGATCACTAGAGGAGTAGATCGCTTGTGGGAGTGATGCATCGCGACGGCCCATCAGCAATAGATTGGGTGTGACTGGGTCTGGATCAGCTACATCCGAGGAAACATACCCGAGTGGCTTGGAGTTGATGATTCCCTCAACCTCTACCAGCACTGTACGTAAAACGGACTCAGTCACAGTTCGATTGCCTAGGACTACCTGAAGAGCTGTTTTGACAGACCGTATCTCTCGCTCCCAGGTACCACCAAAATGCGGGGCATGTGGCGGATTAAACTGAAATGTAATTTCCTGACCAGCTAACTGTTCTTTAAGTGAAGCTTCTAACGCTGTAAAAGCTTCTTGCAATTCAGTGGCTCCTCCCCTGAAATTTGTCCCCCTATCCGCCAGTATCTCAAATGGCTTTCCCCGACGTGATACAAATCTTCGTAAAGCCATCAGAAAGGCATCTGTGTCCATGCTCTCTAAGAGATCAAGATGTATACAACTTGTCGTCATGCATTTGAATATGATGCCCCAGCGTTTCTCAGTGCGTCGTCCTATTTTAATGGTGAATGGGCCAAAACAATCAACGCCTGTTGACCAGAAAGGGGGTTTATATAGTCTTAAACGTGATGGAGGCAAGTCTGCCAT